GTAATGGATCTACTAGTGCACGAGACCACGTGTAATGTAAGTTTACAAAGAATTGTAATAAAAAGAAATATCAAGATTTAACATGATGTTTAGTTATACCGCCCCAGTCTGAATAAACAGTGCTGATTGGTTATTAAAATCTGATAATTTAAAATAAACTTGTTTTTTTTTAAATTTTTTGTATTTTTATAATATTCTAATGTGTGTTTTCTTTGTTATTGCAGCTGAAACAAAAATGGTGGGAATTTAACCTCTGTTGAGAGAATGGAAAAATGATTTAAGCCACGTGGTAAGTTAAATATTCAAATTTTTAAAATGTATATACATATTCAAGCATGTATTGGAGTTAGGTAAGCAGATTTAATTCTCTCAATTTGAGATTTTAATTTACTTTCAAACTCCAAGACATACATTGATGTGTTGATTGATATTCAATTCAAATGATGAGTTATCCATTGGCTTTGCACCACTCAGAAGCTTCACCAAAGTATCTAATGTTGATATTTGCTAATCCTGACAAAATAGTTCATAACATAAATATAAGCATTTTTTATATCTCATTTACTAAGAATATGTCTTTTTTTATATACTTTTAGAAAACTGGTAATTTGGAAATAAAAATTATGATGAAAATGGATCCTGATGTCATAAGGTAAGCATTATTTTATCCATTATAGTATTTAAAAAATATTTTTGTTGTAACTCTCTGATGATATTCAATTGGCCTTGCACCATTCTGAAGCTTCACCAAAGCATTATTTTTTGTTGATATAGCTAATACTGATAATTACAACAATATATATTAATACGACACGTACTACAGCAAAGAAAAGTAAAACTGATTAATAATAAATTATTTTTTATGTTTGTTTACAGATAACTGATTTCTCTGACTGACGTCAGCGAATCTGTGACCATGGACCCACATACTTCCCTATAAAAATTGGTATGGCCGTAGCTGTTTTTACACAATGGATTGTGGTGTGACAGTTATTGGCCGAGTGATACAATTGGTTATTTCGGATCATAGACCTCACGTAGAGTTGTTGGCAATGAAAACTCATCCCTTACCTTAGGTAGGTTTATCCCAATTAAATAAATTAAGACATCTTTATTTTTCATGATGATAACTTTTTGTGTTACCAAACATACGATGTCGACTATTTCTCCTTCCTTAGATGTCTGATAAAAATTCACAATTTTATTGAAACTTTTTAAGTTCTTCAGCATACTAATGATATTTTCTTTTATATTTTCAGGCATCACATGGAAAACAAACAGTCTATACTTCAAGAAATTCGATTTATAACTTGCTGAATATGCTTTTTCCAAGGTAAGTTTAGGATAAAATCCTCAACCTTTTGTATGACGTTTTAATGATGACGACTTTTTATTGCTACCGAACAAATGGTGTCGACTATATCTCCTTCCTTAGATGTCTGACAAAAACTTTTAAACCATAGTATTATTTATTTAAAATTTATATTAATTATTGAATTTTGCTTTTATTTTCAGAAATGCGTTTGGCGGACATTACCGGAGACCGCTTTTCTTGGATGTTGATAAATTTAATAAAATAATTATGTTCTGCAATCGTCTTTTACTTTGCTATAAATAAAAATAACTAACAAATTTAAAATTTATGTTTTTATGGATTATAAAGGCTGTCAAGAGGTTGGAAATTCGAACTGGAAGGGTACAAAAAATACCAAAATGTCCTAAATATGGTACTCTTTGTAATAAGCAAACGGGAAGTGAGCTAGAATTCTAAAATTTGGAATGTGGGTCACTGATGGAAAGCTAGAAAGGTGTACAAAATGTTTCTTGGAAATTCATCCTATAAGTGTACGAAAAGTACTAAACATTACTAAATTTAGTTCCAATTGTATATATATTGAACACATATAACTACAATCTTGAAATTTTTTATGGAATACAGTTTGGGAAGGGGGTTTAATGTATGGAAATGGTTTAAGAAATTTGTACTTATGTATATAAAAAATACAAAATGGTACTAAATTTGGTACTATTTGCATATTAATGAATGTATAGAGATGGAAGCCTGAAAATCGGAATTAGAACTATTGTAGTATAGGATTGAGGTAGCTTTAAAAAAATCGTACTTATGTGTTCGAAAAGTACTAAATGATACTAAATTTGGTTCAAGTTGGATTTAGGTGAACAGATACAGCTGGAGTTTTCAAATTGGGAATTAAAATAATTGATGGAGTGTAGGATTGAGATATTTTAGGAAATTTGCACATAATGGTACTAAATTTAGTACAATTTGGATTTTGCTTCAACGGATAGAGCTAAAAACCTGAAATTTGGAATTAAGATTACTCTTGAAGATTGAGCTACAGAGACATCATTGGAAATTCGTATTTATGTGTACCAAATGTACTCAACGGCACTAGATTTGGTACCATTTTATATTTGGGCGAACGGAGAGAACTGGGCCTTTCGGCTTTTTATTACAAAACATTAAATAAATAAAAAATGTTGGAATAATGGTTGCTGTTGGAATATAGTATTGAGTTGTGGAAGCACTTAATTATGTGTGCTAAATGGTACTATATTTTGTACATCTGGATTATTTGTGAACGGATAGAGCTGGATTCCAGAGTTTTGAAATTAAAATTACTGTTGAAGTGTAGGATTGAGGTTGTTTAGGAAATTCCTAATTATAGAAAACAAAACGTACTAAATGGTACCAAAAAGTCCTGAAATTTTGAATTAAAATTACAGTTGGAGTACGATTGGATTGAGATATGTTGGTAGTTTTGTAAATTCGTTATTATGTGTATTAAATGGTACTAAATTTGGTACAATTTAGATTTGTGTGAACCAGGGATGGTCCGTTTGACGAATTTTTAGGTTATCGACTGTCAAAAAGTTGTAAACGTCGAAAACGTCATATACTTGTATAAAATGTAATAAATGTAGTAAACGTCATTTACTTCAATATTATAACCATATACAGTTATTTTCAAGAATATATATTATTTTTACGTACATCTGACTATTCCTTACTAATGCTGATAAAAAATTCTGAACTTTTTTGAGAAGAAATTTTGACATTTTATATGGATTTGAGTAAAACATGCGTAATTTTCGAATTGATTAATGGGAATAGCTATCTTGTCAAATACCTAATGGTTTTGGGGGGGGGGGACGTTGTATTATACGTCGGAAATGTATGTCATTTATGTCACTGTTTCTGACGTATGTATTAAATTTGAAATGAAAATTGCGTCGGAAATGTATGTCATTTATGTCACTGTTTCTGACGGACCATCTCTGGTGTGAACGGATAGTGATGGAAAACTTAAATTTGAAATGAAAATTGCAGGATTAAGGTAGTATTGGAATTTCGCACTTAAGGATACGAAAAACACTAAATGGTACTAAATATGGTACTATTCGTTTGTGTGAGCGGGAGTCCGCGTACTAAATGGTACTAACTTTTACACAATTTATATTTGAGTGAACGGGTGGAAATGGAAAATAAAATGACTGTTAGAGTACAGGATTCAGACAGTGTTGGAAATTCCAACTTATAAGTACGAAAAATACTAAATGACACTGAATATGGTACAATTTGTATCTATGTGAACGGATTTATGAATAAAATTTCTCTTGGAGTGTATAATTGAGAAAGTTTTGAAAAATCGTACTTACGTCCGCGAAAAGTAATAACTGCTATTAAATTTGGTACAATTTTCTATATTTGAAAGGACTTACCAGTAAATTAAAAAAAAATTCAAATTAAAAGTTTTGATCTAATTTTGTTATTGAAATGTCTTTCTTGATTTATTAATTAAAAAAGTGAAAATATAATAATGATGTGTACATTGCTACAATAGAAGTCGGGATTTTTTATATTATTATTTAACAATTAATTTGTTTCTTCTTCATTTTCTTAATATACTTCGATATACCTTTTTGAGATACAGTTTTTTTTTTTGGTTTAAATATTAAATAAGATAAGTAAAACTTAGGAAATTATAAGCAATGAAAATAAAAATAAATCTGCTGAATTCCTCGAAAAATGCTTCAATTTGACAATAGATCTGAAAATATAAATATTTTGATTTATAAATAACATATAATAATATAGAAATTATGTGTGTGTGTGAAATACCTTTGTTTAAAAGCGCAGGAAATTAAAAGGCAGTAAAATATATTTAGGCTTTTATTTGTATGTAATCCGAATAAGGTATCTGAAAATATAATAAAAAAAGTGAAAGTTAATAACTTTTGAAGTTTCTTCAATAAGCGGAATAATATTTCAAATACCTACCTTAAATATCATATTGTATCAGAGAGTTTTCGACAAGTCTTCTGTTCTGTTTTATGCAGATCCAGTCCAGTCTGGTACATTATTCAATTACATTATTATTGTTAAATTAAGAGTTAGTAAATAAAGTAAAAAATTTACAACGGATATATAAGATAACAAATTTAGATAAATTTATATTTTATATAGCAGGTTTCCAGCAGGGTTTTTGAAAAAAAATAAATTTTTAGAAGAAAAGTAGTAGAAAAATTATAAAAAAAATTAAGTCGATATTTATTTATTGTAAAATAAATTCTATACATTTTAATGTGTGGGTGTTTTCATATAGAATTTATTGCAGTTAAATAAATATCAAGTTAATTTTTTGAAAGTTTGATAACAAAAACATAACTAAATGCAACACACAAGCTACAATTACATTATTCCATAAGTTGTGATTTATTACTTGTCATTTGGCATTCATGGCAAAGCAAAAAATACCACACATTTTAGGTTATAATATAAACCATGGCATAAGACCAAAATTTGAGGTTATGTTTTCGGTTTTTCTTTTCATTTTATATCTTTTTTTTAATATTATTTGTCTATATAAATGAACATATTGAAAATGACAAAAATCTTTGGTTTTAGGTAATTTTACTTAAAATCTATTCACAAAAAATAAATAATCTATTTTGACAATATGAAAAAATATGAACAAATAAAATGGATTGAAAGCTATGCATAGTGGTTAAGGATATTTCTAATGGTAATTAAACTGTAAAAAAAGAAAAACATATTTCAATTATTAAGATATTTTAGAAATAGATTTTGTTATTGTATAGATATCATACCTCTCGCATCATTTCTCTATTGGCTCTTCGTAATTCTTCTTCAAAAAACTCATCATCATCACCAGCTTCAAACGATTGTGGACCACCACCACCGCCGCCAGACTTTGGTTTTATTTCTGTATTAAAAATAATGAGGATTTATTATAAATTATTTTAGCTTTTATTTAAATTGTTTAAAATATGATTTCTTTATGTATAAATGATGACAAAAATGTAACTAATTTGACATCCAAATTTAAGGGGGAAACACATAAGAGGCCTTCAAGATTGGCTTGTTAGGTTAGCTTCATTTATTATAAAAGAATAAAGGGTTACGGCGTCCAAATTTAAGTTGGACTCTGATATGCCTTTATAAATTGACATTTCATACAAAGTCAACGTAATATGCCAGGCCTGAATCCTCTTATGTGTTCCCCCCTTTAGTTATTTTATTTGACTCAATTTTCTAGTGAGAAGCTGAGAATTGTCCATGGTATAATAATAAAAGGTAACAGCAAGTGTTGTTGTACAAAAAACGATACAACAACCACATGGAAATTTGTTGTTGTAAGTTCTACTAGTGTCAACTGATTTGACAGAAAAATGTAAACAAACAAACAAATTATCATCAAATTATTTTTATTTTGAAAATGGAATATTTTCGAATCCTCAAAATAAAAATTGAAAAACATGAATGAAAATCTATCAAATTTATATTTCTATCGCTTCCACATCTTTCCTTTAATTGAGCCATTGCCATATGTATGTGTAACACATATGCCAATGCTTGGAATAGCGAGTAATTCCTTCAAGAAAGATTTGCTTCCTCAAACTTTCCCAGCAGGCAGATTGAGTAAATTGAATGTGGGAGCACATTAATAAAGAACAATTTCAAATTGTATGCGTTCCCAATTTTCCTGTTGGGTGATTTTTAAAAGCATAATTTGTCAAATTCATATTGACACTAGTATTACGTTGGAATCAAATCAGCTGGGATTTGCTGTTACCTTTTATAATTGTACCATGAGAATTGTCATATGTAAATTTGCCTAATGTTAATCAGGTCTACCAGTTTTTTGAATAAATATTTTAGTCCCGCTCTTTACTTTTGTACCAGTTCAGCAAATTTATGCTATAGAACCATTTCTGCACCCACAAAACTAGTAAAACGTTCCATTAAATTTAAGAGAAGAGAAGCAAAATGACGCTCTCTTCGAAAACTTTACAACTTAACTCAAGAAGCAGAAAACAGCTGTTCAAGATTTATTAAAAAGCAAACGAAAGTCGGCTGTTTTATTCCTCAAGTCTAATGTCAAAAATGTTTACATTTTCATAATTTCATAAACTTGAGAAACAGCTGATATCCTGAATTGCCTGATTAATAGGCCTTACAGCTGTTTTTCATAAGCATAATGTCAAACATTTGGACCATGGCACAATAAATATTTTGTTTTGTATTCTAATAGCGATTTTGACATATTAGGATAAAACATTTTCTTATCTTGGAGGAAAACGACTTTCAGCAAGGCAACACATGATCTACAATCTATATATCTCTCATTTAAATAATCAGCTGATTAAACATGAAAATCTTTACTCAGTAAATTTGACTAGTAAGAATTAAGGCAACAGGCAAATCTATTTTCATAATTCATTCTCATTTACCAAATAAACAACATCCCGAAAAAGTTTTAAATTTTTTTAATTATGAAACCTAATAATTTTTCAACAAAAATACAACCCTAAAATTTCAAACAAAAACCTTTGTTTTTGTCTCGATTATATGTCAAAATTTTCCTTGTAATGGTGTTTTTAAACGATATGTATTTTACATATGTGCTGTCACTTTTTTGCATATGGAAATCGAACTCGTCATGTGAAACATACGGAAATTTCAATGTGTCAAAACGATATGCAATTACATATGTATTTTTTTCCGAATAGGACGCGCTCTATTTTCGTATGTGAAACATAAGGAAATCAGCTGTTTGAATGAAACACATTGTTGGAAGAAAATATTTCAATTGCAAATCAAACAAAAGGATGAAAAGGCAACAATTACAAATTATTATTTCGTTTGTAGGTGTTTAATAAAAAAAGATGTTGATTTAAGAAAAAATAAAAGTGATTTTTTTGTTTATAGGTTATGTCATATGTAATATACATATGCCGATTTGAACACAAAAATAAATGTTTTGTGTACGCAGCTAATTTTGACACATATAAGGATTTACATATGGATGAAATAAGTGACAGCACATATGTAAAATACATATCGTGTAAAAACACCATAATATTTCACATGTTTGGCAACACTGCACATCAAATTCAAGTAGAAATTACCCACTTTGGCAGTTAATCAAGACATCAGCGGCGCTAAATGGACTACCTATTCATTGTGCCATGGTTTTGATGACCCAGTTCCTTATGCCATGTTTACAGCAATAAAATCATAACACAGTCCATTTAGCGCTGTTGATGTCTCGATTAACTGTCAAAGTGCGTAATTTCTACTTGAATTCGATATGCAATGTTGCCAACCATATGAAATATTATAAGGAAAACTTTGACAGATGGTCGATGCATAATGAATAAAACGAGTCACTTAGATTGTCGAGTAGGTTCTTCACTGAATGTCGAATTCCAGCATGAGACCTATACAAAGTCCAGCTTTAGACACATGTCTGGTTTTTCTACTCATAGAGAAAAAAATCCCTAAAATAATTGAAATGGCTTTCATAGAAACGTAAAAATTCAGAACAAAATCCGAAGACACAATAAAAGTTTGGCGTGATTACACTGAAGACGATGCCAACTAAACAAAAAAACGGCGTGTGTTGGTTATATGGTTGGCAACACGAAATGCCTTTCCTTGGGGACCATATACACCGAAAGTGTTTAATAATAAATAATTCATTTAATTGCCTTTTAAGTTGTCATTTTCATAGGATATATGGCAAATAAATGATAATGTTACAGGCATAAATATAATCCACTGTTTGTGAACAGGATAAATTGGAATTGACATTGACCTTTAGAAAACATAGCCTAAGGCTTAATTTTAATACAAGCGCGTTTAGACTACGAAATCAACTCGACCTCAAATACCAATTCCATAGTGTATACTGCAAATATATCACATTCATAAATCCAGTGAATTTTTTTGACGTTAACGCTATGGAATTGACATTTGGCATGGAAATGATTTCAATTTTGACTTGCCTTTTACACTTAAAACATACAAATGAATATGTCAAAAAACCAAATCTTACACATATAACTTAAAAAACTAATCCTAATATGTGCGTGTGTATGTATGATAGTGAGTATGCATCGTTTTTTGTTGGAAAATTATGTTTTGTATTTTTTCTTGTTCAAAATTGGGCGCCAATTGGAGGTTTAAGATGTAGAGTTAAATGATGAAGATCAGAGTGAAAGTGCATGTACATAGAACATAGAAATATATAGATAGATTTTCTTTATTCAATTTAGTAATTACGTGTCCATGTAGGATCATCAGGATCTTCATCACTTTCATATTCTTTGGCTGGCAATTTGCCATATTTCGCCTCCAAACGATTCATTAATTCCGTGTCATCAATATCGGATATTTCTTGTTCTTCATCGTCCAACTCTTCGTCATCATCGTCGTCGTCGATTAAGTCATCATCATCTAATTCTTCGGAATCTTCATCTTGTCCCTCTTCATCATCGTAAATATCATCTTCATCATATTCGATATCTTCATCTTCGGGTCGATAATCCATGTCGTAGGTAACTTCTTTAGTTTTCGGTTTTGTCTCTTCCGTGTTGTGGCTATCCTTTTCGTGTATATCAGATGTGTAATATTTTCGCTCCACTGCCGATGGTGGTGAATATTTTTTCTCTTCCATTGTGGGTGGTGAATATTTCATTTCCTCCATTTTAGGAGGTGAATAGTTTTTCTGCTCTACCTTTGGTGGGGAATAGTTTTTCTCCTCGACTTTGGGTGGTGAATATTTCTTTTCTTCCGCTTTAGGTGGTGAATATCTTTCAATCACAGGTTTTGTTGTTGTATATTCGGGCATAAATGATACTGATTTTCCCACATTGCTTGTTGTTGTTGCTTGTGTTATTGTGTTACTAATACTCTCAATTGAATCCTTTCGATCTGTTTGAGGTTTTGTGTTGTTGGTATTATTATTAGTAGTAGTAGTTGAAGAAGTAGCTGAGTTATTGGAAAATGGTGTCTGGTATGGTGAACGATACGAATATGTTTCATGTTGTAAATTCGTTTGTGTTAGATTATCATTAAGTTCAAGTTGTTTTTGTTGTTGTTCCTCCTCTTGTTCTTTGTCATAATTTTTTGGTCTATACATGGCATTAAGTTCTTCAAATGTTTCCGGTTTGTAGACATTCTCACCCGAATCCACTTCATTCTCTTCGCCAGGCTGTTCCTCTTCGATGTCATCGATGTATTCGATTTCCTCTTCGATTTCAATTTCTTCTTCGGAGAAGTCTTAAAGAATATATTTTTTTGGGGGGGGTGTGAAGAAAGGAAAATGTTTAATTTTCATTTTTGTTGTTGTTTTTGTTTTAAATTACTTGTTTTGCAAAGAGAAATACAAGAACCGGAAATTTGTTGTGATAAAATATGCTAAACAGCACGTGTAAACTCAGCTTAAATAGTAATTTCTCTGCAGTCGTTATGGGTAGTGTAGTAACGCCACAACATCAGTATCAACAAGGGTTACCCATTTTTGGTGGAAATCATGGTATAATTATACCATTAGATTAAAACTTTTTATTCAAGGTGACTTGTTCTCGGAACGAGGATTCAGACAAGGTGACAGTTTGTCGTGTGACCTGTTCAACATCCTGCTTGAAAAGGTCATACGAGATGCAAATGTGAACAGAAATGACACTATGTACACCAAACAGAATATGTTACTCGCCTACGCCGACGATATCGACGAAATGGGTCAAGCGGTAACTGCAATATTTGAGCAAATTGAGATGGAGTCTATAAAAATGGGGCTGGCAGTAAATGGCGAAAAGACCAAGCTGATGATATCAACGCGCAAGACGTCCAATAGACTCGGAACTTGAAAACCACAGTTTCGAGGTAGTGAGCGATTTCATATACCTCGGTACCGCCATATACAAAACTAATAACAACATCCAACAGATACTACTATGGTCTGAGTAAGCAGCTCAAAAGCAAGGCACCTCTCGCCAGACCAAACTCACACCCTACAAGACGCTGATATTACCCGTGCTGTTGTATAGATCTGAAGCATGGGTACTTGCGCAAGCAGATGAGGCAGCTCTTGGAAAGTTTGAGAGAAAAATTCTCCGGAAGATGTATGGGCCGATCTGCAAGGCCACCTCTCGCTAGACCAAACTCACGCTCTACAAGACGCTGGTATTACCCGTGCTGTTATATAGATCTGAAGCATGGGTACTTGCGCAAGCAGATGAAGTAGTTCTTGGGTGTTTGAGAGAAAAATTCTCCAGAAGATCTATGTGCGTCGATGGTGAATATCGCCGTTGACTGAAAGATCTATTTTCGGACATCGACATAGACAGACTATGTGGAGCTCCAGCGACTACGTTGTCTAGACCATCTTGTGAGAATGGATGAAGATGCCCCAGCTCAAAAGGCATATATAAGCAAGCCAAATGAGGGTTCACGCAAAAGTGGAAGGCCACGAATCCGATGGAAAGATCAAGTAGAAGACAACATCTCGGATAATGGATGAGATGCGCACAAGACGGCTTATGGAAAAACTCTTTCTGTCATAAACCAGCTAAGTAAATATTTGTTCTATCAAATCAAAATAATATTTGGTGTATGTGTGTGTATTTTTTTAATACCATGTCTAATAAATTCAGTTAAATTGAAAAGTATTCAAATTTAATAGAAATGAAAATGATTTTTTACCTAGTTCGACTGGAAATTAATTACTTTGTTATTGAAGAAACAAACATTTCAACCCAGCCGGGAAGGTTTTGGGAATAAAATATAAACTTTCATAAATGTTCACATTTTAGTTTTAGTGTATTTATTTTATATTTGACAAAAGAAGCCACACTACCAACATAGTAGCCTTTTTCACCTCAAGTTGTCCTACTTTGAATTATTGTACCATGGTTGAAAGATTTTCCACCCAATAAGAACTCAAAATTAAATCAGTCTATTCAGTTGACTGATTTCCTCAAATTCTCAAATCTCAAAGAAATAAAAATTTCATAAATACAAACTTGTTTGACAGTGTGTACCGTATATATAAATTACAACAAGACGTGTGAACCTGATTAAAAAAGTAATGGCAATGCTGTGAATTAATATCGCCATAGTGGTGTAATATCGCCATGACAATATAGCCACCATGGCACAATGAATAGGTAGTCCATTTAGCGCAGCTGATGTCTTGATTAACTGTCAAAGTGGTAATTTCTACTTGAATTCGATGTGCAGTGCTGCCAACCATTTGAAGTATTATATGGAAAAGTTTGACAGATAATCGAGACAAAAACAAATGTTTTTGTTTTAATATATCACATTATTATTGCATCATGATAGCCACTAATGCGATTTATATCGCCATAGTGATGTAATATCGCCATGACAATATTGCCAACTTATGTTGCATTTACATCCACTGTTTTTTATGTTAAAAAAATATATTAAAAAGTAAATTTTACTTTTACTTTCGTTTAACTAACAAATTTCAGGTTCATAACAATTTCTTCTCTTTGCAAAACATGTTTTTTTTTAATTTCAATAGTAATTAACCATTTTCTGTTAAATATTCATCCATATCATTCGAATCCTCTGGTATTTCCTCCTCAGCTGTGGCTATTGTAAGACGACGTTTCATCAGAGCTTCGGTAGCGGCTGGATTTTCATCATCTTGAAACGCGTTAAATTTTTAAAAATTATATAATTATTTTAATTTTTTTTATAAAAAATATTTCATAACAATAACAACAATATAAATAAGATAATTACACAATGGCAGCATACATACATACACAATGGCTTATAGCGGTATAATGGTGCGAGCATAAAATATTAAATAATTCAAAAACTATAAAATAAAATAAAAAAATTGGCATATGTTTACTATTTTACAGTAATTTTACAAAAATTAAAAAAAAATAATCATAACTAAAAATATTGATTAGTTGTGTAAGAAAGTGCAAAAATTTTGAAAATAGAAGAATAAAAAAACGACATTAATTTTTTTGTTTTACAGCAATAAATTGTTAAATATTTTATTATTAGTCCTAACAATTTTTTTAAATACCAATCCACAACACTGACATGCGGACATATAGAATGGCAAAAAGAAACAAAACGGTGTTATATGGTCTTCAATGATACGCATATGGGTTAAATAACCAATTTTTTTAAATAGAAAATTAAACATTCAGCTTTAAGCCTTTTAGTAATCAAGCGCATAGACTACATCACTTGATAGTTGTATTTTTTATTTAATTAATTTTGGTTTGCAAAGGTTAACGAACATTGACCGTAAGGAAAAAAATACAACATTTGAACTGAACTTCATTAAACTCACTTGTAATTGGTGTTTTCTTAAGCAAGACTAGACGCGCAACTAATGCTAGGGCCAGACCAATGCCAATTTTTAATGTCACTGTAAAAATATATATGTTTGGAAATAGGTGAGTTGAGTTCATAATATTTTTTTTCTTCTTCTATCTAGAAAAAACTTGCACTTTCTTTTCTAATCAATCTATACTAATGTTTTTTAAATGTGTAACTTAATATTCTAAATTAAATCTAATCTTATTATAAGGGGCAAAACTGATAAAAGGTTTGATTTTCAGAGTTGTATTTCGTGTTGCCAAAATAAAAATGATAAAAGAACAAATCACAGCGGTGTTGCCAATCACAGCGAAAATAACGCAATGGCTAGGTTGTTTTTGGTAACGCTAAATTCATCATGAAAAACCTGACTTACACCGAACATGTTTTACGGAATCGCCACTTATTTGCCACATAACCATAATGATAAATGATGATTTATTAGAAAACACCTTCGGTGAAATGCTCCCAAAGACTTGTTTTAATCGGCATTTACATTAGAAGTTTTTACCGTGTTAACCTACTTTATGAGGACTTATTTGAATGTGCGCAATGGAACTACAAAAAATTATCAACGAAATCCATTAAAAAAACGTACTATTATCCTGATAAATATGTTAAATGTTTATAATAAGATAATTACTAAAGAAAAATTATCAACGAAATTTTTAATTTTTGAAAAAATTTTCAACAAAATATATTTTTTTTCTTGATATCGAGAATCTAATACTTTCAATTACTATTTTTTCCTTCATAAAGGATAAATTCGTTAACTTAGTAAAAAGTAGATTGCAGTACGGGAACAGAACTATTGTTTGGAAACTGATCCTTCCATTTAAGGCCGAGTTTACACAACATTTATGGACAAAGCACATCCAGAGCGTTTCGCGTTTTTTCGATTGCATCAACCCACAAAAAAAATATAAAATATATTTAACTCCAAAATGCAATGCACATCAATTTCAATTCGACCATTCATTAATATCGTTGAATCGATATGAAAAAACGCGTAACGCGTCGAATGTACTTGGGCTTTTACTCTTTTCTTTATATACTTGGCTTCTTCCTTAATAAATATTCTTCTTCAGTAAATCAATATCCAACTCCTAATATCCAACTACTATATCAACTACTCTATAGTGACAAACTTACGTGACGATGCCCATGAAGTTGCCAATTCTTCTTCATATACATCATTTTCAATTGAGGCGGGATTTTGTTTTGCCTCAGCTTCAGCCTGTTGGCGAGCTTTTTCTTTTAATAGCTCCAATTCGGCAGCATCATTATCGACAATATTTTCAACCGAATCCATAACAGTGTCATCTTCCTCCTAAATAGGTGTAGAAAGTTTTTGTTAAATATTGTTTTTGTTTTTCTATCTTTAAAAGAGCGATAAGCGTTACAGCTTTAAAATAAAGTACTTATGTCATACTTGACACTGAACATATTTTGACAGACAACGGTGAAAGCACAGTAATAGGAAATGAATGCCAAGATCATGGTACAATAAGTAGGTACTCCATTTAACGGACAGCTGATTATCAGATAAACTGTCAATGTGCATTGTTTTTAATTGCATTTTACGTGTAATGTTACCAAACAGCTTTACTTAAAACCAGATTTTTGTACCGACAAACTGAGAACACATACGATAATGACAGCAAGTGTATCGACAGCTTAAACAAATAACATAATTCAATGACAAGGTGGTTTATCAAAACAAATACATCTGTTTTTTTTTTCATTCGACCATCTGTCAAATTGTGTGTAGTAATATTTCGTATGGTTGGCAACATTGCTCTTTGACAGTTAATCGGATAGTCAGCTGCGCTAAATGGCGTACCTATTTATATTTTCATAAAAATTATCATTAAAATTCTGAAACATCCGACAACGGCATGAGGTTGATTGACTTCGCGGCAGCAAAAAACATTGTAGTTAGCAGCACCAAATTCAAACATATCGATATACACAAGGCCACCTGGATTTCTCCTGATCAATTACCTTGTAGCTGCCAAGGTTCGCACTCGTCTTAATGTAGCAGCAAAGGTGCGATCTAACACAACACGGAAACTCAACCTCGAAAAGCAGCAAACACAATAGGTAGTAGAAGCCTACTCCGCTCAACATACCCACCAGCTTGACGAAAGCACTACTTGTCCCGATAATAATATAGAAGTACAATGGGAAAGAATTGCCAACTCCCTACAAACTACACGAAAAGCAAAACTTGGGTATCAAAGACCACCATCAAGAAACCCGTGGTACGCTACTGATATGAAAAACGCAGTATATAGGGCTACCCTGCAGACAATAGCAACTCGTACTGCGAGCGAATTATCGGGAGAAAAGGAGAGAGGAGAAATGTATTTTCAGAAAAAAAGAAGAAAGAACAAGAAAAGCGTGAGCGGGAGCAAATCGAGATGTACAGGAGTCAGAACGAAGTCCGGAAATTTTACCAACTAGTAAAATACCAAACAGAGGATTTGATGCAGGCACATCCTTCTGTAGAGATTAAGAAGGAAATCTGGTGACAGATGCAGATAGCGCGTTGGGGAAGGAGCATTTTGAAAAACCTCCGGTATCAAATAGTGGCGGTGAAGATGACCCCCAGAACCAATAAGAGACGACGACTAGTCAAGATGAGGTCAGAATAGCAATCCATCGGCCTAATACAAGGGATTACCATCCGAATTATTCATGACTGGTGGTCTGATGCTGGTCAGGATCATGCGCCAGCAGATGGATGCAATTTGGCTAAATGAATGCATGCCCATTGATTGGAACCTCAGCATCCGTTGTCCTGTGCACCAAAAAGGAGACACTGTATGTGCCAACTGTAGAGGAATAAGTCTCCTTCCCATCGCAGGTAAAGTGCTATCCAGCATGCTGTGGAACGACTGAAGCCAATGGTCAATGACATTATTGGGCCCTACCAATGCGGCTTCAGACCTGCCAAATCAACCATCGACCATATTTTCACGCTGCACCAAATCCTGGAAAAGACCCATGGAAAACACATCGACACATTCAATCTATTCCTCGACTATAAAGCCGTATTTGACAGCCTCACACTCTAGAAGACGCTTATATTACCCGTGCTGTTATATGGATCTGAAGCATGGGTACTTGCGCAAGCCAATGAAGCAGCTGTTGGAGTGTTTGAGAGAAAATTCTCCGAAAGATATATGAGCCGATTTGCGTTGATGGCGAATATCGTCGTCGAATGAACCATGAGTTGTACCATTTATTCTCGAACATCGGTATTTTCAGACGTATGGAGCTACAGCGGACATCGGTATTTTCAGACGTATGGAGCTACAGCGACTACGTTGGCTAGGTCATGTTGTCAGAATGGATGAGGAAAATATGGGCCACACACATGTACAACAATTTGGCAGTACATATGACAATGATGGCTCTTGTGACAATACCTTAAGGAACCTCATTAATGAACCTCGATATTAATCTAGCTGATCTTCCTGTAATACCATAATAATTAAGATGGAAACACATACAAGGATTCAGGCCTGGCCTGTTAAGTTGACTTTGTCAATTTATAAACGAATATCAGAGTCAAACTTGATTTTGGGCGCCATTCTCCTTAAATCTCCTAGAATAAAATATGCCAACTTAGCATGACAAGCATGAAGTTATCTTATGTGTTTCCGCTTTAGCATTGATTGAAATCTGAGTAAAATATATTTACATTTCACCCATTTAGTTTCTCGCCTACCTCAGTTTAGACCCTAGAGGTTATAATGCAGAATATTTGGCAGAACAGATTAGATGTAAGATCATAAACCCACAACTCTTGGTAAATTACTTCAACCCGAATTTTATACTCCCCACACTTTGTTATTCCATTAATTAGATTATTATTAATTAATAGTTTAGGTTAATTACGATGACAGATGATTTCATGGTGATCTGGAGTTTTCAAATATTCTATTAACATAAAACTTACATATTCAAAGGTATCTTCATCATCGTCGTCGGCATTTCCCTTGGAAACAGGTTTTGATGACTCGCGAGTAACATTTTCGTCGATATTATCTTCATTGGTGGCATTATCTTCGTCTTCATCGTCGGCTTCATATTCCTCCTCGGCGGTGACATTTTCTTCCTCTTCTTCTGCTGTTACATTTTCTTCTTCGGCGGTAACATTTTCGTCTTCAGCTGTGACATTTTCTTCCTCTTCCGCAGTGACATTTTCTTCTTCCTCTTCAGCTGTTACATTTTCTTCATCAACATCTTCGGCAGTGACATTATCATCTTCGCCGGTAACATTTTCATCATCCTCATCAGCCTCTTCGGCTTCTTCTTGTGTTACATTTTCATCTTCTCCCTCTTCTTCGGCTTCTTCACCATCCGACACATCCGGTTCTTCTTCAAACGGTTCATCATGCTCATCATCATGGCCATCATCATGATCATCTTCTAACGAGCCATGAACATCATCATGATGATCATCATCAGGTCGATGCTCATCAACCCAACCATCAAAATAATTTGAAAATCGTGATTCCGATAACGGTGTATCAACTGGAAAAGTTAAAACAAAATTATTTAATTGATAGAATTGATGACGAGAACCGTATACTTACCATCGGATATACCACGATTTTCCATAATTATCAAGCACACCAAACCCAAAAGTACCGTCATCAGTGAGAAGAAAATGATCTTGGCACACCAATGTCCGCCAGTGCCATGTTCGTGATGTACATGCAAATGTACATCATCCGATGACATTTTTGTAATGTGTACTCCATGAGAGGATTCGTCATCTGTTTGAAAATAATGTAGACAGTCTTAATTTTGAAAATTGTAATTGGGCATAAGCAGAAAGGGGGGAACACATGTGGACTTGGCATGTTCACCAGGCGTAAAAAAAGCAAATATGACTCTGCTATATAATTTGACATTTCATAATGTCAACTGAACATGTCATGCTTTTAAGGAGGATACACATCGGTGTTTCTACAGTCATTTCGAAGAACTGCTTATTGCGCATTTAGATTTACGAAATCCTCTCGATCTGTCAATTCCATAGTGTATACGTCATATATAATCCACTAGATTTGTGAACATGTTTAAGGTGGCGTATACGCTATGAAATTGGCATTTGAAATCGAGTGGATTTGGTAGTCTAAAAGCGGTCTAAGGAACTCGATCTATGAACTCACATGCAAGTTATTTCATAAAATTACTTGAGTGTGAACAGGAACTAAGTTGCATGCAAGGTCTATTAGAGCACGTTTAGTCTACTTAATCCACTCGATCTCAAATGTCAATTCCATAGCGTATATGTTATATTAATCATGTTCACAAATCCAGTGGATTATATTTGACGTATACGCTATGGTATTGACATCTGAGATCGAGTGGATTTCGTAAATCTAAACGCAGCATTAAAAAAGTCATCCAGGGAGGCCAGATGGATATTAGCTGCTTCTCAAGTTTCATGTCAAAATGCATTATTGTGAATTGACTTCCATTATGAAACAAAAACAAAGTCAATCTTTTAACATTAGATCTGAGAAACAGTTATCTTTTTGGCTAGCTTGGTGGCCTTATTAATAGATGATGGTTGCATGTAATGAAATGTCAAATTATAAAGCGGTGTACACACTATCATTTTTCAATAGCAATTTTTTGATCGATTACTGACTGCCCAACAACCATGCATATTTTCTGGTTGCCTGATGAATGACGCATTTGAGAGACCACAAAGTCAAAAGGCATAAATCGAGCAAGAGTGTCATTCAAAAGTGATAGTGTGTACACCGCTTAAGGGAATATCACAGTCATATTTGACGTTTTTTTTTTTTTGTCGCCGTTCGTCTTCTATATTTTACCAAGCCAACTTATGAGGTAATATTCCTATGTGTTTTGGCCTTTAGAAATAGAATGAAACATTGTAAGCAGTGGATAGGTAAATTAAAGCTTAATCGGTAAAAATAATTATATGTGGATAGGAAATAATAAAATGCAATGGTAGAAAGCTCTCATACAAAATATTTTCATTCCTAACAATAGAAATTTTAAATCTCTTAAATTTTTGAGATTTTAATGTGTAAATATGAGAGGAGAGGAATGCATGCCAGAATGCAGCGGGAGAATCGAAGTATTCCTAACTTATAAAATAGTAAAATTTAAGGTGAAAACACATATGAGGATTCAGGCATGGCATGTTAAGTAGGCTTTTGTATGAAATGCCAATTTATTAAGGAATATCAGGATCAAACATGATTTTGGACGCCATTCTCCTTTATTCTTTTACAATAAAAGAAGACAACTTCACATGCATGACTATATTCCACATATGAAATGCCAATTTATTAAGGAATATCAGGATCAAACATGATTTTGGACGCCATTCTCCTTTATTCTTTTACAATAAAAGAAGCCAACTTCACATGCCATGACTATATTCCACATATGTATGGACAGAAAAAAGGTAAGTGTTTGGAAAACGTTTATCTCTGTTATGATCACATGTTAAATTTTGTTTCGATCTTTAAAGTCCTTCATATAGGAACAAAAGTTCAAAAAAGATGCATCCGCAACTTTTTTACAATAGAAAAATTTGAAATGCTTGCTTTAATTGTAAAAAAAATACAGATGCGTCTTTATTGAACGCCTGTTTCTATATGAATGATTTGCCATATCGAAACAAAATTTAACATGTGTTCATAACAGATATGGAAGTTTCCAAAACACTTCACTTTTTTCTGTTTATTCCGCGCTTTCGGTGCTAGGCTAAGAACTTTCCGAACTGCCTCGTGTGTTAAGCATATGATAAGCTAGGATGGTAGGTAGCATACTATTTCAATGATATTTAGCAGGTACCAGAAGGATTAACAATATTATCAAAATTATAAACTACCTTGCAAACTTGATTTGCGCGAGAAAATTAATTCACCCTCTGATTTGCGATAATCAAGAGATTCTATTTAGCAATAGTATAGAAAAGAAAGTTATTTAGTTATTTATTGATAGATTAAGTATGAATAAAAAATGTATTTATTTGTATGCAAATATATAGGATCAATGAATAGCAACAAAATATCAATAACTATTTTCCGGAAGCTACAAGAATATAAAATGTGCACCCTTATCTAGAAAAACCAAACAAAACAACCACGAACATGCTAAACCGAACTGATTTTATCTAAATTTACTATACAAAATTAATAGTATATTTACAATACACTTGATTTTGTTAACCCAATGGGTTTAAATTGTCAATATCATTGAATATATATCAAATAAATCCTCATAAAGTAGGTTAACTCCGTAAAAAGTTTAAATTTAAATGCCGTTTAATGCTCGAAATTCTGTGCGTAATCTAAAAAATTTTCAAATACAACTCTGTTTTTGTAGAAAAAAATGCAACACTTTTCCAAAAAGTACCAAAATGTCAAGGTTTTATGTGTGTTATTTCTTTATAGTACGTTTACATTTAATCGGATTTCGTTAACCCAGTGGGTTTCAATTGTCAATTCCTTTGCATATATGTCAAATAAATCTAATATAAATGCATTGAAATTCAAAATAGTTGTCTAAAAGAATATGGCATAGGTTGAAAACAAGTTTTTATATTTTATTATCATAAATATTAAACGCTATTAAAACAATGCATATTATATGAATATGGACTTTGAAAATACTGGTCAGCTACGAGGAATTAAAAATTTGTATGTATACGTAAACAAATATTAATACTAATTTAAGTAAAACCTTTTAAAATTTGAGACATAATCTAAACGCTCTCAGGGTTGCATTTCATTGGCACTGTCTTTCGATAATGATTTATAGTACGTTTACATTGTACCGGATTTCCTTGGGTTTTAATTTAATTCAATTCTATTCTATTGTATACATCTCAAATAAATCCTCATAAAGTAAGTTAGCCGTGTAAAAAGTTCTAATGTAAATGTCGTTTTAATATTAAATCACATTTGTACTACATTTACATAAATGTGTTTTACAGTCATTTATTTGACATACATTTTAATAATTTTAATTGTTATCGGATCATTTTATAAAACATAAAATACCACAAATTTATTGGTATTCTATGCTGCCACCAATTTATAAAGCGTATTGACCGAGAAGCTATGCACTTGCATATTTTTTTAATTTCTTTGTGTCCAATGTACAGAAACAAAAAAAAACGCATCACAAAACAAAGAAAGGGAAATTGTAAACATTGTTCTTCTTTTTTTTTTTGCAATAACGTAAAAATGTTGCAAATCATTTGTAAATGGAAAATTGCCAAACAATAATATAATAATAATATACAGGAGAACTAAGACGACATCGTGCCGTTGTACTCAAGTAAATATGTATTATGAGAATAATAATCTTTGATCTTTTGTTTTACTAGATTTCTGTTCTGTACATAAAATACTGGTATACATTTTAATCATAATTAAACCATAAAATCGGGTTATCTTTAAAACAAATGTTACTAATAGTACGTTTACATTGTACCGGTTTTCATTAACCCAGTGGGTTTAAATTGTCAAAATATCCTTATTCAAACTTTCATGTTTATATTTAATTCATATTTTCTTTATTATTTCTATAAATAATAAATACACTCCATTTCAAATGTCGATTCCATTGCGTATACGTCACCTGTCCCAGTGGATTATATTTGACGTATAAAGGTACGTTTAGATTCACGAAATCCACTCGATCTCAAATGTCAATTCCATTGCTTATGGTGTTTTTACACGATATGTATTTTACATATGTGCTGTCACTTTTTTTGCATATGAAAATCGAACTCGTCATGTGAAACATACGGAAATTTCAATGTGTCAAAACGATATGCAATTACATATGTATTTTTTCCGAATAGGACGGGCTCTATTTTCGTATGTGAAACATAAGGAAATCAGCTGTTTGAATGAAACACATTGTTGGAAGAAAATATTTCAATTGCAAGTCATAGAAAAGGATGAAAAGGCAACAATTACAAATTATTATTTCGTTTGTAGGTGTTTAATAAAAAAAGATGTTGATTTAAGAAAAAATAAAAGTGATTTGTTTGTTTATAGGTTATGTCATATGTAAAATACATATGCCGATTTGAACACAAAAATAAATGTTTTGTGTACGCCCCTAATTTTGACACATATAAGGAATTACATATGGATGAAATAAGTGACAGCAAATATGTAAAATACATATCGTGTAAAACACCATTATACGTCAAATATAAACCACTGGATTTGTGAACGGAAAAGTTGTTATATTAAATTTAAGTTTCAATTTATACAAAGTTATTACAATTTTAAAAAGATTCGATTTGAAAGCATTTTTAAAATTGTATCTATGATAAGTATCACGTATATTAGTATTGAAAAGAATAATTCATTTTTCGATATCCTTAAAGAATTTCCACATTTTGTGAACGAAGATGAAAAACAAAAATTGGATTCAGAATTTCGCGAACTACGGTTGTTTGATTTTGATAACATTTGTGAAAATGATGAAACCGATTTATTTCGTTTTTGGAATGCAATATTTGATTTGAAACGTGGTGATGGTTCATATGTTTTTCCTATAACTAAATTTTTACGGAAGGTAATGGTATTACCCCATTTCTCAGCAAATGTTGAGCGTGTTTTCAGCCAAGTAAATCTTAATAAAACGAAAAGTCGAAATTCAATGGAGAAATTTATACCAAAGATTACTTAAAAGTTAAGAAAACAAATTGTTATGATACGTTAATTAAAACCGACATGTTGAAAATGATTACCCCATTTTTTTCTTTTCAAAATGAATGACTTTATTAAAGTCGAAATGACTATTCAAATATTTATAAAATAAATGAATTTCTTGATTAGCTTTAAAAAACGTGTAAAATTAAAATTGAATACATCTATTATGTTCATTTTAATAAAAAAAATATATTTAAATATATCTAAATGTGCGTATCTAAATTTTTGACGATTTTTGATAAAAAAAATCGTCATTTTGACGATTTTTCCAAAAGAAAATCTGGCAGCCCTGTTTGTGAACCGGATTAACGTTACGTATACGCAATGGAATGACATTGACATGACATTTGAGATCGAGTGGATTTGGTAGTTTAAACGTAGCCTAAGCTATGAAATTGACATTTGAGATCGAGTAGATTTCGTAAATATATAAAATATTAATTCTAATATGAATTGAATACTGCAAATCGCAAATTATGTATTCTATGCGGAAATAGTTTACTGACTAAAAATTTAATATGAAATTACTGACAAAATTAATAATGAATAATTCAAATTTAATGTATTCCGAATTTTCGTGATGGTTCATCCGAACACACCAATAGTTACATCAGAATTAGGGATACGTAGTCGAGCGCAAAAGTCGACTTTTAGATATTTGCCACTGACCAAAATGTTGATATTCAGACTTTTCGATCTTTCCACTTTGTCAAACTTGTTCAAAATTGACTTTCGACTTTTACCGACTAATAGAAAATCGATTAAAATTTGATAGAATGTGTAATGTTCGTGTAATTTGGGATTTTCTTCATAAATCAAGTATTTATGAAGGAAGATATTTTCATTTGAATTTTGAAAGCGGAATACTGTCAAAGGAAAATTTTTGAAAAAATTTGAAAAATATGACTGCATAAGACTACATTGTATAATTATGCCATGGGAAGGACTATGATTTAATATGTCACCCAGTTAGATCAGCTGTTTCTAATGTTTTCTTTCAAAAAACATTATGACGAATTGAGTTCACATGGTGACTAAGTAAATAACCAATTGTAAAAAAATCGATTTTTGTGGATATCTACGCATTTATTTTTCCAGTAAAAACTATTTTGCCACACTCTTATTGACAAATCTATTGTTTTTCACCTGATGGATGGCATTTTTAAGAGGCATGTCACCTTGCAACAATTTGGCGGGAAACCATAATTTAGAAAATATATTTTTTTTCTAATGGCAACACTTAATTAACAACAAAGTACGCAACGTATGCTCTTCTCTTCCTATTTCCTCTCACTCACTCGTTTACTCTCTTTCTCTCCCTCTAAAAATTTGAACTAAATAAAAAACACAATGTCAACAACAACATCAATATTAGACATCAGAAAATATAGAATGTGTGTGATGAAAATTAAAAATATAATTTTCATAAAAACTTAAGAAAAGAAAAAGTACCAGAAAAAAATATTTATTTATATAATAGGGCAAATGGAAAGAAATATTTAATAGAAAAAAATAATTGATATATATTTTTTATTTATTCAATATGTATTTAGAATTGACTACATTAATTGATATGTTTTGAATAATGTGTGATGGGGTGTTTTGGGGGGGTTATTTTAACTTACCACGTTTCTTCTTCTTGTCCTTGCGTTTACGTGGTTGTACATCGCCAGACATTTTTCAAATTTTCAAATGGAATTAGTTACAAGAATTTAACGGTAAATTGAACTTCCTTTCTCGCTTCCTTGCTTCGATTGTTACTGGGTAACAAATGATAATGACCTGAGGTTTAGAGTGGATCTATTTTTAAATTTTGTTTTCCCACAAACTTTTTTTATGTGTGTCGTATTTTTTCACTTTTTGTTTCGTTATAATTACATAGTAATTTTTATATATTTGGTTTAGGGGAATATCACTTTTCCTGGGATTTTTTTCAATTCGAAAATCGATTATTTATTTGAAACAATTAATTTGTCTTTTCCACTACAAAATTTAGGGAAAATGAATTAAATTGCTTTGTCGTTAATATATCTATAGATATATTTATATGTATGTATGTGACACAACCGACGTTGAATATATACGTATACTGTGGGGTAGGTGTGTGTGATCGATCGAGTAGCAGCAGCTCCCTGTTGTCTACTTTATGGTAACACCAACGCACACACTTTCAATCACACGCGTACTCACACACACACTCACTCTCTATGACTATTTTCTTATTTTATAAAAAAAAAATCTTTTGGCTGGCGATCTTGATCCGCTCGCGTTCGGTGTCGGCAAACGTCTGATTTTCGTTGCGGGCGAATTATCTGAAATTGTTCTTCATAAAAATTAAAAATAAATTTTTGCTTTCTTCCTGCGAGTATTTATTTGATTTGTTATGTTGCTCAATTCTCTCAATGATGGCATGTTGTTATTGTTATTATGATGAGTCGGAGAAATTGTGAGATACAAGGCTAGGATTTAAATATTTTTTATTATTTGTCTCGCACTTATTCCAAAATTATATTTTGAGATGTGAACAGAGAATAATGGATAACATTAGAATAATATCTACGAAATGTAATAAAATTAATATTCGTACCAATTCATGCAAAAAAAAATGTTAAGAGGAAATGCAATATAGTGTTGCCAAACTGAATTTTTAAAGTGCTCGTATGGTTAATGTTTTGGAAAACATTTTTTGCCGGATGTTGTTTGTTTGACAGTTGTTTTACTGACATTATATGAATTCTTACAGGAAAAACAATTACTCATTAATAGGTTCTATCGTTTACTCAATAATTTTTACAAATTATTACAAAATGTTGTTCGTTTACCCAAAAGTCAAGTAAACTATAGTAAAATTAGAGAGCAGATTTGACAGTTGTGTTACTGAGTATTTGCAAGGAAAAATTTAATCAGAAGAAATTTCTTGTACCATCAGCTGATATTTAATCAGCTGTTTTGTTATGTTTTGTAAACAAACTTCCAAATAAGTTTTCAAGCTAATTAATTGTTTTGTGAATTTTATATTGATTTTGTGTTATTATTATGCAAGTATTCACAAAACAACATAAATTTTCCGCTTGTTGTCCACTTTTTGTAATAAAAATGCTGCTTTTTTATTTGCGCCAAATTGTTTGTTTTTGTAATCAGCTGTGTCGATACAACTTTTTTACTGGATGTTGTTCGTTTACTTTTGGCAAAGTGAACGAACTCACTTAATGTTTTTCAGCTGTTTCAGTTTTTGAGTCAGCTGTTTTCAGTTTTTTAGAAGACGTAATGAAATGTAATACATTTTCTCGTTTATAACGACGAGTACATTAGAAAATTTTAACGAGTTAACAATACGTTTACATTGTACCGGATTTCGTTGACCCAATGGGTTTCAACTGCGTTAAACAAAATATATTTTCTATTTTTTTACCAATGTTTTTTCCTTACTAAATAAATATATTATATAATCCTGTGCTCACAAATCCAGTGGATTATATTTGACGTATATTTAGCAAGTTTTGACATTTAAAATATGATAGATACCTTGTATAGTTATGCCATGGTTAACCTGGAAAAAATCTCTAATATAAATGCCGTTTATCATTCACCTTTATATACCATACCTTGTATTACTATATCTTGCTGTTACCAGGGTATAATTATTACAAGGTAGGTCATAGCAATCAGCTGATTAAATTTTTTTCTCTAAGTTGCATGATCTATGAAATCAAAATATATATTTTGTATATGTATGTGTGGCTCAATAAAAAGTCTAATAGTGGCAAATTGTATGATATTGGTGCCACGACCATGTTGCAACAATAAGGTGATGTATCAAAACAAAAACCTTTGTTTTTGTCTCGACCATCTGTCAAATTTTTCTTTATAATATATCACATGGTTGACAACATTGCACTGCGAATTCAAGTAGAAACTATGCACTTTGACAGTTAATCGAGCCATCAGCTGCGCTAAATGGACTAACTATTTAGTGTGCCACACATCTACGTATCTACGATGTGTCAGCTGATTTCAGTTGTGGGTAAATAGGACTTTATATGAATTTAGGCGTAAATCTAAATGTAAAATAAGCCATAATGTCCTGTAAGACAGTCCTCATTCCTGAGAAAGACGAGGAATCGACACATTCGGGTCTTCGACACAACTTTCACTTACAGCAGCGATATTATAAGCAGAACGAGCGAAACCATGAGCAGCGTACACAAGACTTTCAGTGTTTGCGTTCAAAACTGCATAAGTATTTTTTATATGACATAACCTATAAACAAAACACCTATAAACGGAATAACAATTTATAATTTTTGCCTTTTCATACTTCTCTTCGACTTGCAATTCAAATATTGTCTTCCAACAATGTGTTTCTTTCAAACAGCTGATTTCCTTATGTTTCACATATGAAAATAGAGCGCATCCTATTCGGTTAAAATGCACATGTAATTAATTAATAATTAAGTATCGTTTTGACACACTGAAATTTCCGAATGTTTTACACGACGTGTTCGAGTTTCAAATGTAAATAAAGTGACAACGCATCTGTAAAATACATATCGTGTAAATGCACCTTAAGCGATCTATTTTCGTCAATGTCAGACTTTCAACTGAAAAGAAAAAAAAAATTGGTTTAAAATATAGTTTGGCAGTTGTCAAATTATAGTTCGGTACTTTCTAAACTACGAAACGGAAAACCCTTTTCCATGATTTTAGATTTCGAATTCGAATATTAAGGAAACCAAGAAACGGTCAAATCAAAGTCTTCTTCTTATTCCACTACATATAAGTGAAATGCAAAGTGAATGATTAACACAGTCAAATTACGAGCAGCTGTTAGAATAACAGCTGTTAAATAGTTTGTCCATTTCCAGCCAAAACGAACAAAAATTTAGCAAGGAAAGGATGTTTTCACTAGCTCTAAAAAGAGATCTTCGCCCTACAATAGGCCTGGTGGTATTAAAAAACAATTTCCCCCAAATTTTCTTTGTATTACAACAATTATTTCCATCCCACAGCAACGTTTCTACTGTGCTGCCGGCAAAAAGGAAACCGCAGAAACTAAAACTATACCCAAAAATGTCTTAGAAGGAAATCAAACGGCACATTTACAAACGGAAAATGGTGCCATTTTCGATAAGAAACCATTCAAAATTCATTTGGATAAAGGTAAGTACAGTAAATAAATAAAAAGTGAAAGGAATTGAACTCAAGCATACAAAGTTGCACACAAGTTTCGGTTTTACATAACCTTCAAATGGTGATTGCAGCAACTATGTATGTCTTTCCAAACTACTATGTATAATAAATTGTTTTCGGTTTCTCATTTCAGACAAAGTGTATAGCTGGTGCCTGTGCGGTAAATCGAAACGTCAACCCATCTGCGATGGCATGCACAAAGATGAATTTCTGAAAATCAAATTGAAACCGATTCGTTTCAAGGTGGAGAAGACCGGCGACTATTGGCTTTGCAATTGCAAACAAACCAAACATCGTCCATTCTGTGATGGCACCCACAAACAAAAGCACATTCAAGAAGCTGTTAAATAATGGATTTTCATACTTGTAGTTTTTTTGTTACAATAAAGTTGATTTTTTTTGGAAATTGTTAAAATTGAAGTGTGTTTAATAGTACGTTTACATTTAATGGGATTTTCAATTGTCAATCCCTTTGCATATATGTCAAATAAATCCTCATAAAGTAGGTCAACCCGGTAAAAAGTTCTAATGAATATGCCGTTTAAGGGTAGTTTATTTATATATATTGCATAGGCTTGTAGGTCCAAATCTTAAATTTTGGAAAAAAATCTTATTACAAAGGACGAAATTTGACTCTTTGGTGCACCATTTACTAAAAATCGGACGAAAATATATATCTGAACCGATTTGAAAAAACATGGCCACATTAGGCTTTCCTATCATCAGTGCGTTCTGCAAAATTGTGTGCCAATCGGCCGAAATTTTCCTCTTTGATAAATTATTTATTAAAAATCGGACGAAAATATATATGGGACCTATATCTAAATCTGAACCGATTTCAATAAAACTTGTCACACGTTAGGCAATCCTAACATCAGTGTGTTGTGCAAAATGTTTGGCAATCGGGCTAAATTTGACTCTCGGATGCACCATATACTAAAAATCGAACGAAAATATACATATATGGAAGCTATATATAAATCTGAACCGATTCAAATAAAACTTGGCACACGTTAGGCTATCCTAACTACAGTATGTATTGCTAAATTTCTATGCATATTCTCAAAAGGAACCGTGAGTCTATCTCTATTTCCTTTACATATGCATAAAGACATAATACCCTGTACCACAAAGGAGGGTCCACGATACAAAACGACCCGAGTCTTACTCGGCCAACGTTTGTCAATTCAGCCCATTGTGTAAAAGCAAAAGGGCTGCTACTACAAATACAACCCTGCACCACAGTGTAGTAAAGGGTATAAATAATTCTTAACAACCCAGAATGGTTTAGGTTATTAAAAACAAATCTTTATTTAGGATCCAATAAATGGAAGACAATTTAAATTTTTTTTTTCAATAAGCAAAAAAGGAAATGGCTCATCTAATATTTTTGAGTGAATGTTTTTTGTCATTGATTTAAAATTAAAATTTTTTTGGATAATTTAAAAACAATTATGACCTTGCATAAAAATATGACAATAATGTTCCTCCTCCAAACCTCCTAATAATGAAATTGATTAACATCAAGAAATATGTTATAACTTTTTTTGCATTTTTATTTATTTATAATGATATTTGTTATGATTTTCTTTTTGTGGAAAAACAAATTCCAAAATATGTAGTATATATACACATACACTTGTTGTTTACCTTATATTAGCAACATATCATCAATTCATAATTAACTCAATTCTCAGCGTCTGATTTTACAATATGTTTTTTTTAATATAGAAATATTCGTTTCTAAACAAATTTAAATAATTATAATTTATTCAATAAGTTTTTTTCTTCTTTTAGTGCCGTTGAATGTTGTCGACTAGGTGCCTGAGAGAGAGGGAGCATTGCTTCAGGAAATGTGGTAACAAATCAAAATGGGGGTGGGTTACCAACAAAAACCGTATGTGATTTAAGTTTGTTATCTCACCCATCAAAAGGGAAACAATATATATTTGATTTATTTTTTGTTTAATATCATTTTGCTTCTTTTTTATTGAGTCAAAAAACTTGTCTTTACAAAGACAAACTATATAAACAAATAAATATAAATTTAATGGGTAGTAGAGTAATAAAAAAATTAAGGGATATTTATTGTTAACCAAAAAAAAATGTTCTGTGGAGAAAACATAAAAAAATATATATTGGAGGCTTTTGTTTTATTAATTAAATGCATCTTTAAAAAAAAGACAAGACAAATATAGTAATATATGTATTTATGGAAAACTATTAACGCAAAAAATGGCTCAATAATTGCGAACATTATTCAGTGTTTTTGTGTAAATATATTTAAAAAAATTATTTATTTTCTTTTTTGATTCGTTTCAACTACTAAATTTTTATAAAAAAAATATTTTTTAAAGGCCTTTAAGAGTAGAGATAATGATAAATATGATGTTATAGTAAAAAAACAGTGAGTGAAAAAAAAACGAAAATTACATTTAATAAAAAACCTTCATAGATGTTGTTATTTGGGGGTGAGGGGGGTATTATTATTAATTTAATAATTTTTAAACTTAAAATTTAAAAATTATAATGTAATGACTGACTGGCGATAGTGTCTAAAGATTCGAGTAAAGTTGTATGTATGTTTTCTTTTTTTAATTTTAAATATAGAAATGATTCACACTTAAAATAAAATAATTAAAATACATTTTTTGTTAAGGTGTTTTTTTTTTGCATTTCATTTTGGAAAAATATTACAAAAAAGTAATAATAATTATCATAGAAAAGAAGAAGAATTATATATATAATACGCAGAAGAGACAAACAGACAGACAGAAAGAAAAAGAGCTTAAAGATTTGTTTGAGCATTTTTGTTTTGTTTTTTTGTTGTTGTTAAGAAAAGTTGTTATACTTTGTTAAAAACAAATATATATATATTTTTTTTGCAATAACTGACACAAATGGGGTCCTGCATCAAAGAAAGAATGACAATTAAATTTGTTTGTGGGGGGATTGGTTTTCTTAATCGCCATATTATGTTGTGTTCATTTTTTAGAGTTTTCTTGTATACACAGTTATAACTGTTATAATAAAATTTATTAATCTTTTTTTTTTCATTTTTAAGTGTATAAGCTAAATGAAAATTATTTCTTTTTTTTGTATTTTTTGTATAAATTTGTTCGATTTTATTGCGTCTCTACTATCTCACTTTCGTTCGTTCTTTCTTTCTTTTCAGTTAATGGCGCAAAAACAAGTTCAACGTATATGTTCAACATTTTCGTAGTTGTAGCTCTTTTGCAATTGTTTGTTGTTGTTGTATGTATAGAATATTAATAATAATAATACGAAAGAAACTACAATAATTTATTATGGTGCTTTTTTTTCTTGATGAACGAAACAGAAAACAGAAGTAAAAGAAGAAAAACAGAAACGTTAAAGGAGGTTTTGTTTTTTTCTGATAGGCTACTACTACTACGAAACGAAAAGAAATCATAAAGAAGAGAACACACCGCGCACCACACACATGCTTGGCTCATAATATATATATGGTTGTGTGTTTAATATTCCTCATCTTCGGGTGGAATCTCATCTGGAGGCGCAAAACCATCCTGAAAGAAAAGAAGAAAAAAAAAATGGATTAGAAAAATTGAATGTAGGAAGAAATATTATTTAAAAAATGTTCAGGACATGTATACACATTTAAGAATATTTTTCAAGAAATATTAGTACATTTTACGATCGTGATTTTTTTAATTTCTAAGGGTATTATTTTATACCCTTCACCACACTGTGGTACAGGGTATTATGTCTTTGTGCATATGTTTGTGACAGGCAAAAGGAAAAGAAATAGACACATGATTCCTTTCGATAATATGCAAATGCATGTCTGTCTGTTCGTCTGTCTGTAAATGTTAAATTGTAAACAAAGTAGCGGTCACATTTACCATCCGATTTGGATGAAATTTGGCACAGCTCATTTATTTGACCCAAGGACGAACCCTATTTAAATTGGGAAAAATCGGTTCAGATTTAGATATAGCTGCCATATATATATTTTAGTCCGATTTTATGTAAATGTCCCTATATATCCTTCGATTTGCACGAACTTTGGCATAGCATTCTGAATTAAGTCTAGAACGATGTGTGTTAAATTTCGGAATTTCCGGAAATTCGATTCAGATTTCGATATAGCTCCCTTATATATATTCATCCGATTTTAGGTAAATAGTGCACCAAAGTCCCTTTATATTTTTCGATTTGCACGAAATTTGACATAGCGTACTGAATCGAGTATAGAATGATGTGTAGTAAGTTTCAGAAAAACCGGTTCAGATTTAGACATAGCTCCCACACATATTTTCTTCGGATATTGTGTAAATGGTGCATTAAAGCTCCTATATTTAGTTCGATTTGCACGAAATTTCGCACAGCGTATTGAATTAGGTCTAGAGTGATGAGTGGTAAGTTTTCGGAAATTCGGTTCAGATTTCGATATAGCTCCCATATATATTTTCGTCCGATTTTATGTTAATGGTGCACCAAAGACTCTATATATTCTTCGATTAGCACGAAATTTGGCATAGCTCACTAAATTAAGTCTAGAACGATGTATGTTAAATTTCGTGAAAATCGGTTCATATTTCGATACGATTTTGTGTAAATGGTGCATTAAAGCCCCTATATTTCTTTCGATTTACACGAAATTTTGCATGACGTACTGAATTGAGTCTAGAATGATATGTGGTAAGTTTCAGGAAAATCGGTTCAGATTTAGACAAAGCTCCCACACATATTTTCTTCCGATTTTGGATAAATGGTGCACCAACGTATCTATATATCTTTCGGTTTGCATGAAATTTGGCATAGCTTACTAAATTAAGTCTAAAGTGATCTGTGTTAAAAATCGGTTCAGATTTCGATATAGCTCCCATATATGTATTTTCGTCCGGTTTAAAGTAAATGGTGCATTAGAGCCCCTATATTTCTTTCGATTTTAACGAAATTAACGTCTAGAACGACGTGTGTTAAATTTCGTGAAAATCGGTTCAGATTTAGATATAGCTCCCATATATATATTCGTCCGATTTAATATAAATAGTGCCCCGAAGTCCCTTTATATTCTTCGATTTGCACGAAATTTGACATAGCGTGCTGAATTGAGTCTAGAATAATGAGTGGTGAGTTTCCGGAAATTCGGTTCAAATTTCGATATAGCTCCCAGACATATTTTCGTCCGATTTTATGTAAATGGTGCACTAAAGTCTCTATATATCCTTCGATTTGCACGAAATTTGGTATAGCGTACTGAATTGAATTTAGAATGATGTGTGGTAAGTTTCGGAAAAAATCGGTTCAGATTTCGATATAGCTTCCCGTGAATTCAACAAGGAATATTTTGTCAATGTTCTTATTTCATGTTTATCGTTGTGTCAATGTGTTCTTAAAATTTCAAATAAGCAAACTCTTTTTCTATTCATATTTTTCGTTACATACCTCCGTTGCATACAAAATTTCCAAAATTTTCTGTATTAGAGGATGCGAATCGCCTTCATCGGCTTCTTGGCAGCTAAAAGGAGAAAAAAATAAATATTAATAACAATTTGCAAATATTTAATAAATAGAAAAGAAAAAACTTACAGAATTTCTATGTCACGCAATTTGGAGAAGTAGAAATCTCGTTCCTTTTCCAAACCCTCCAAATTTAAACGCATGTCCATAACCTAAAAAAATATAAATGTTATAGTATTTTCATTTACAAATATCACAAAATTTGGAGATAAATATCTACCTGACTTGATAATTCCTCAATTTGTTGATTTGTTACAGCATTTGAATTGTCATTGGCTTTCTTAACAGCTCCGCCACTGTTTGAAATGGCATTGGTTCTTGAATTTGCTGCAGGTGCTGCTCTGGGTGGTACTTTTGTAGCTGTTTAGTTTTTTTGTGTGTAGAATTTGAAAAGGGACATATTAATACAATTTTAAAACTCTAAGGCAAGTGAAATTTAATCAAAATTTTTAGATAGTTGTGCAGCTGTGTACGTACACACACACACAAATTGAGTAAATTTCACCAGACCCCATTCATATATTTTTCGTTCATTCTTAAATAATTTAACAAACGCGAAGCACGTTAATATAAATAAAATTTTTAAAAAATAAACCAAAACAGATTTTTTTTTGCAAAAAAAAAACCAAAGCAAAAAATGTTTAAAAAAGAGTTAATGTTTTTAAGAATGTTATGTGCTTTCCAGTTTAGTTAAATGCCAAAGAAATGAAAATATAGAAATAAACAAAAAATAAAATATAATACAATACAAAACAACCAAATAAACAAACAAACGACTACAAATAAAGGACAAATCACATACTGGGCCTCACTGTTGATGGCACTGTCGATCGTTGTGTGGCCACTGCCACGGCTGGTTTCCTGTATGATGTGTTGCCGCCACCAGTGCCTGGCAAAGACTTAACATTACCCGCTCCAAAACCCATTTGTGCACCCTCTCTGGCCGCACTGGCATCATAATCGTGACCATCATAATTGGCATCGAAGAATTTTTTAAACCATTGCAAAAATTCGAAATTATCTTGGAAGCGGCCTTTTATCAATTTGTCAATGGGTATAATCTATGTTTTTTTTTTTTTTTTTGCATTTTGTTCATTTTCCCGAAAAAAAAAACAAAATCATCATATACACCACGACAATTCAAAACACAAAAAAGAAACAACACGTTGGTTGGTGTGGTTGATAAGTATAAAACAAAAGAAAAAGGAAGAAACAAATAAATGATAGATGAAAATGTGAAATATAATTTTTTTTTGTTTAGTAAAAGCTAAATAATTATTATTATTGTTTTTTGTTTAATAATTAAAGTGTACAAAGTAAGTGATGTTTTATGCTTCAGGGGTGGGGGTAGGTTGGTTCTGGAGGGACGATAATGACAATAGTAATGTTTGTTTTTTTCTGGAAATATGGGACTTTGAAAAAAATTTTCCATCGAATTTTAGGAGGTAAAATAGAAAAATCTTTGGAATTTCCGGAATGCCGATAATTGTTGTTATTAAAAATTAAAAAAAATGGTGTAGATCAGTAGCAATAGCGACATAGCGAAGAATATATTTTTAAATAAATATTTCAACATTCGTCTCCAGAAGGTATAGCAGGGAAGACAATAGTTTCAAATCGCCACTGATCCTCAAAAAAAAAAAGAAAAATATTGAAAAAATATTTTTTTATTAAAAAAATATTTTATATATCAACAAACATATTTTATACATTTTATCTTTCAAAAAACGTAATGATAACATTGTGCACGAATATTTCGCTTCGAATAAATATTAAGACTTTCAATTCGCCGCCTCCCGGTAGACCTTATTTAATAGGCCATGAGATTGACAATTGAAAAATGGTAAATAGTTTATCCTGAATTCCTTTATTAAAGTACCAAACGCCAGAAAAAAATCAATAGTTTAATCCCACCACTTAGTCGTTTTCATTATTAATCAAGAAAACTCAAAACCTTTGTTCAAATATAAATGAAGAAAACAAAAAAAATATATATATGAACAAATAATTGTGCACAACAAAATGTTTGTATGTAGGTAGGTAAGTGATGATGTTGTGATGTATATGTGTTGGTTGGTGAATATGTGTTTTGTTTGCAGTAGTAGTTGTGTGGTGCTGCGGGTCCATTATTTTAAACCGTGTGTGAAATAAAAAAAAATAATAATAAAACCAAGACATATCACAAAAAAAAAATTATCAATGAAATTATGAATCTCAACCCGAGGAAAATGAAGAGGAATAAAAATATATGTAAAATAATATAAAAGTACAACGTGCTTCACACTCGATAAATAACTTTTCGTTTAAAAGTTCTATTTTTTTAGTTTTTAGGTTATTACCGGTTGTTCGTGTGTGTGTTGTTGCAGCAGTATGATGTGATCGTCCCGAAGGCATTTGTATGTGACGTCTGTCGACGAGTAAATCATTACTGCTGCCAACACCACTACCGCCGCCACCAACACCATTGCCCAGACGAATGCCACCGCGAGCAATTAATGGTTCATATTCACGTCCATCATAATTGGCATCGAAGAATTTTTTAAACCATTGCAGAAATTCAAAATTGTCTTGAAAACGACCCTTTATCAATTTGTCAACGGGTATTATCTACAACAACAAAAATACACACACACACACGCGCATGCACACCACCCACCATACAAACACATTTAGAGCGGCGGGGCAGGGGTAAATGGATGAGACCACCAGAGGGGAGAGTTTGTACGTTCGTTGTTTTTTCGAAGTCCGGGGTTCGGGGTCCATTTTTGGTTATTCAAGAATAAAAAAAACACACACACATAGAGAGAGACAGAAAAAAGACAATGAAGGTCTGAGTTTATATCATTTTTTATGACTTCTGTTAAGCAGAATCGTATATAGGTCAAAAAACGATCACTTACTTTTGTCTTTGTTTTTTTTTTTTAATTACAAATAAAATTTATGTATATGTAAAATACGGTTATATATATGGGGTTTAAGCTAACACCCACACACACATACATACATACATACACACACCTAACTTGTTAACTTACCTTATCAACACTCATTTTCTTAAAGGAGGCCTGTAATATCTTAAAATTCTGAATATATTCATGTTCCAAATTTGTACGGAACTTGACACGTTTCATGGGCACACTACCAGGAAATAGCATATCCATAAATTGACAGTAAGCAGCACCTAAAATCAACAACAAAAAGAAATGTTTAGTTAGAAAAGAATTATCGAAGAAGTAGACAGTGACGTAGGAAGAAATATAAAAAGGGGAATCAAGAAGAACTATTTTTATAAAACAAAGAAAGAATGACTATCAGAATTGAACTTTTTAAAGGCTATCAGACCGAGGATTTATAAAATATTTTTTTAAGGGATACAAAAGGCGTGGATTTATCAAAGATTTTTTTTCAAGAACTTTTAAGTACTATAAAGGCGTGGATTTAATAAAAAAATATTCCAGGTGTGGACAATCAGACTGAGAAAATTATCAGACCGAGAAAATTATTAGGCTGTGGAATCGTTGGAAACGTGCCTACATATAGAGGAGCTGCCGAAAGTCAGTATTTTCCTTTAAGGCCATTTTTTAAGGTCGTGAATTTATAGAAGAGCCTTCTTTTGTAGTTCCACCAGGATAGTGGATTTATTTATATACCCTCAGCCTTATGACTAATGAGGGTGTGTATACACTTTGATACAAAGTCAGGATTTTCGTTTAAGGGCATTTTTTTAAGGTCGTGAATTTATAGAAGAGCCTTCTTTTGGAGTTCTACCAGGATCGTGGATTTATTTATATACCCTCAGCCTTATGACTAATGAGGGTGTGTATACACTTTGATAAAATCAAAATGTGCCTCATCGAAATATTGGTTCTAGACCACATGTTTATTTGGACCAAATCCGTTTTAGAAAATTTTGGATTTCATCCAAACTTTGCCCATCTTATTATTTCTTCCAAACTGAGTTCAAGTTCGAAGATGGGGAATATCGGTCCACTCCTTCTGGTACCTCCCAATGCGGGCTATAGTTCATTATCGAATCGTACGTGCTAGTTTTTTATCTCGATATCCTCCGCAGGTGAAACGATTACAACAGAGTATTAGAACCAAACCCAAAACGCCGAACAAATCAGATAACTATTTTTATATAAAAAAGGGGGTATACGGGGACTACCCCAAAAAGGGAGGCGAATATTAATAATTTTTGGTAAGGAGATTTGTTACCACATACGACTACAAAATACCAAATTACAGGGAATTCGGTTGAAAAGTGAGCTCAAGAAGCCCAGAATACCGAAAATTGGGGGTACCCTTATATGGGGGATATCCAAAAAAATTGGCCAATATTTATAATTTTTTGTAGAGAGATTTGCTATCTAATAAGAACTCAATGTACCAAATTTTAGCGAAATCGATTGAAATATGCGCTCAAGAACCTTAAAATTCCGAAAATGGGGGGTACCCTTATATGGGGGCTACCAGAAAAAATGGATCTACATTTATAAATTTTAGTGAAGAGATTTGCAACCCAATAAGAACTCAGAGAACTAAATTACAGCCAATTCGGTCGAAAAATGCGATCACAACCCCCAAAATACTGGAAATTAAGGGGCCGGCCGGACCAAAACAAGTGGACCGATATTTATAGTATTTATTTAGTAGAGATATTTGATACCCAATAAGAAGGCAATGCACCAAATTTTAGCGAATTTGGTTGAAAAACGCGATCAAGAATCCCAAAATATCGAAAATTTGGGGGTACTCTTGTATGGGAGCTATACTTAAACGTGGACCGAAAAAGCCCATCTTCGAACTTGACCTGCATGCAGACAAAAGACGACTCTATGCAATATTTTGGCGGTCTATGTCAATTCGTTTAGAGGCTAGAGTGATTACAATATACCGACAGACGGACATGGCTATATCGTCATAGAATTTTACGCTTATCAATATATATACTTTATGGGATCGGAAATGATTATTTCGATGAGTTACAAAACAAAATTAATATACCCTCCGTACTATGGTGAAGGGTATAAAAATGCAGCTCCCTTTTTTTCTATTTGTATTTCCCACTACGCCATTGTCTTAAGTCAAAAGTATAATTGTGTTATTGTTGTTTGTTGATATTTACCGGTGCAGAGTTCTTCAATTTTCGAAAACTGTGCCTGCAGACAATCATTTACCCAAGACAGCATATCATGTCTGGATAAATTCTCGGTTGTAACATTTGTTGAATATACATTCACTGCCATTGTTCTAGACGATTTTTATAAGCTCGCGTGCTTGATGAGGATGAGGTTGTCTTTTTTCCACTTAACGATGCAGCAGCAGCAAATGTAGGGAGTTGGCTGGCTTGACGCGGTTGACTTAATGATTTGCTTTACAATTCTCTGCAAAAAAAAAGAAAAGAAAATTTAGAAAAGAAATTAGTATTTAATCATTTTTTTATTTATTTATTTAAAGGTTTAGAGACACAATTTAAAAGAGATGTAGTATTTTTGTTTGTTTAAAGTAAATGTCAATTAAGACAAACGTATGCACATGTGATGATTACAAACTTTACTTTTACTATCTGTGTGTTTTGATTTTTCTCACAAAAAAATGTTGGAAGTATTTAATGTTTTTCACTGAAAATATGTGGTGGCCTGGATATGTGCAGCAGTAAAGCACTATCAGGTCTACCACAGTAGTAGTAGTAAATGTTTTGTATGTAGGTAGTTATATTTTTTACCGACAGCCATCTAATTGTAATTATATGTTTAAAATATTTTTTTGAAAGTGAATTGAAGCATAACGCCATCTACAGCTGGCTATGTGCGTGATTCAAATCTCTTTCTGCACGGTGTACAAGTTCATTATCGTTATAAACGTAACGGATTATTGTTTTGTTATGTTTGGTATTTTGTTAAATGTGGATGATGATTGTACCGGCTGGCAGGCAGTCGTGCAGCAATGATCGTGATATTGTTCATGCCATCGTCACCGCCTTATGGAAGAAAATCCATGGAATTGAGTGAGTAAGTAGTATAAAAATATAGTAGAGCAACAGATGGCCGGCCGGCTGATGTATTCCGATGTTGTCTAGCAACAAAAAGCATGCGGTATTTGTTGTTAGGAACCGAACCTATAAGTATGTGTGTGGCGCAATTGCCTTAAAATTATTTAAACGTTTTTTAAATTATATTTAATTAGATAGATAATGTATAAATTCGATCATAACAATGATAATGGTATATAGATAGCTAGCTATTGCCACCTACATGAAGATGTTGGGTAATTTTTTGTTTATACCATTTTCATAAATTGAAAGAAATGTAGAAAAAAACACCTGTTCATATCATAAATTTAATAAGGAGCATTTTTTTGCAAGAATATTTTTCATGTGGATTTATTAGATGATCGTGCATTTATTATAAAATATTTAAGGACCATCAAATCTTGGATTTACTGGATAACTTTTTTTATTATTATTTATATTTTTGATTTATTCATTGTTAATATAATAGTACGTTTACAGTTATCCTTTGCATATATGTCAAATAAATCCTCATAAAGTAGGTTAACCCGGTAAAAAGTTATAATGTATATGCCGTTTAAAGAGCCCCAGGGCCTTCAGGAATTATTGGGGACAAAACCTGACCACTATACATTACAAATTTTTTATATTACAATTTACATTACTCAACAGTGTAGAGATTATGATAAGAGACTGTTACGCTAGAAGTGTATCAATTCGATTCAATAATTACTTATTTAATTTATATTTAATTGTAGAAAGGTTAGGTTTGGGGATGTGCTGTCACTAATGTGGCTGTGAAAAGAGGAAGATGGGAGGAGGAAGGGAATAGTTTCAATGGCTAAAGAAATTGGACAGAAAAACATATTAAGGTTGCACTTTCCCAACCACTTTATATTTCTAATGATGTTGTAGATTAAAGCAGGTTCCATAGTTGAAAAGAAGCTTAGAGACGGCTTAAAAGTGAGCACTCACTAGTCTGTGTCGTCTGTAGGCCAGGACGATGCACAATTGTCTCCGTCTCCTCCTCATCAACACAGAGTCTGCAGTAACATCATGGTCCCATTTACTGATAATGGTCCTGATATTGCAATGAGCAGTAATGATTCCTGTCTTATTTCAGTTTTGCTCAGGTTCAGCAGTGAGTTTGTTTTCTTGGTTGACAGAGTCGGCCAGTTAGATCTTGACATATTGCACCTAGGTTCGTTGTGCCAGAGTTCATTGGATCGTTCGTTGAAGAACGCGTCAAAGTTCCGAAAAAGATGACATATGGGTGGTTTGATTCATATCGAGAAGAATTTGGAGACATCCGGTTATTACACATTGGTTGCGTCCTTGACATTGAAGCTGCCTTCAACAATGTGAAGCTGGAAGCTATCCACTCTGCTCTCGATAGTTCAGGTATCCTGAACTACTGCTGAAATTCGATCACGTCCGGATAAAGGTTGTAGCCTATTCGGATGATGTAGTGATGCTAATCGGTGGGAAATTTCTGCCTAGTATTTCTGACATCATGCTGGGTGACAATTTTGAACAAGAAAATAGGTAGAAATAAGAAACCTTTGGTAGAAATAGTTGAAGGTGATGGTAATGTCCTTCTTTAGATGCTGCAAAGACGGATACATTTCATAGACTCTGTGCATGTACTGAGAAATTCTATCCAACGATATCGAAATGCTGATATTAATTCATTTGGAACACACACTGATGATTTAACGGAGTCGGTTTGGTTTGTTGGATGCGTCAAAGGTTGTGGTTCAGATGCTATTAAACCAAATATATTGCTAATGAGATTATTGGAGGTTGCTGAAGTATTAACCAACATATTTAACAATACGATTAGAGAAAGAAAATATCCCGATTGTTTGCAGATACATAGTGAGTGATACCAGTACCTAAGAAAGCTAACTCGAAGAGTATTGATGAGTTCAGACCTGTTGCTGTGTTGTCAATGATCGATAAAGTATTTGAGAAGATTATTTACGAGCAGATGTCGTCGTCATATCTTGAGGAGAACAAAATATGTTTGATAATCGGTTTGGATTTAAAAATGGATCCGGATCAGACGAATAAGTTTTTTTACATAATCGAATACATATGCAAGGGATTGGATACTGGCAGTAAAGAAGTAGCTGGAGTATTTCTGACTTCATTAAGGCGTTCGGCGTTCTTGTGGAAACACAGTATTCTTGTGAAGAAACTGAAATATGTTGGGTGCAAGCAGGGCACATGGTCACTTTTTTAAACAAATTTTAAATAATCCGGAACCATTATGTGCAAATTGGAGGAGAATAAAGTAGTAGGCTACCGCTTAATTATGGCGTTCCGCAGGGAAGTGTGGGTCTACTATTGTTCAAACTTTATACCAACGATTCTCAGGATATGCCGATGATGAAGTTCTGCTAATCGGTGGAAATTTTCTGACGAATATTTCTGTCCAACATGCCAATGGACTTGGCTTAAACCCCACGAAGACAGAAATCGTACTCTTCACTAGGAAATTAAAGATCCCAACCTTTCGATAGCCATTGTTGACTGGAGTCACATTAGCCTTTTCCTTAGAAGCAAAATACCTTGACACAATCCTTGACCAATATAAATATATATTGACACTGGTGCATAAGACTTCAGAATTGTGTCTTGAATGGTATGTGCTAAATTTGATCAGCCTGATCATTCCTGATACATAAACTAAATGCCATTTTACTTTACTTTTTGTGTGGGGGTTTTAATATTTATGAAATGCGGCACATGTGGCAAGTTCAGGATGTTGCTAATTAAGATCTATTATTGGAAAATTTCAGAACAAAAGCGAACTGTTTACTTTCATTACATATAATTAACTTGTATTTGTTGACTATAAAAAAGAAGTTATGTGAAAAAATCTCAATTTGTCAATATTTGACATGTGGACGCATACTTTAATAGGTTATGTAAATTCTGATGCACGCCGCACCGTCTCTGCATGTAGAGAGTGCGTGTGGTAATTGTTTGCTGCATATTCAAACAAAAACTATTACTTCACTCTCACAACAAGTCCTACAATTACACAATGAGGCAATGAACGAACGAAGAACCTCCCCTATTTTCATCATTCCATCACATATTCTTACCCCGCCCTCTCTATGTTAGGCAGGCGGGACGGCCGACATACCGCCTGGTTTATATGTTGACTTTGATTTAAAAAAAAAACATTTGAAGTCAACGCACTCTAAGTATATGATGACATTTGTTTCTTTCATTTTTGTAGGTTTTTGTTGTGGCCACCATTAACGTGCCACCACTCAACAAAAAAAAAACTCTTTGACGACGACAAACTTCGTACGGCATAGTGAAATTGTTTTGTGTGATTTTTGTTGGGGAAGAAAGCCATAAAAATAAATCTTTGTAAAGTTCAATGTTTAAAATAAAAATATCTTTTGGTTGTTTTTCCTTTTTTTCTAGAAACACCCAGCTGTAGGTAGTACAAAACACCATAGTTTTGTGCATGCTCGTTCGCTCTCTCCCTCCCTGATTGATTTACTATACTCTAACATCGATGGCATGCAATGTTAATTTCACTTCCCTGATTGATTTTGAACTTTAAAAATGTCATTCGAAATGTTTAGCAATTAATCGAATCGAATTTTTGGTAGCCAAGTTTATTTATTTATTTTTTTTTTTTTGTATTTCCTAATGGGAAATTGGGGAGAGGTATTCTTTTCCATTTTTTTGGATTTATTTTTGGGTGGGAATTTAATGGTCTATCAATTAATTGATTTTATTTTCAGACATTGTAGTTAATTATTTTTAATACCATAAATTTTTCAAATGTTGTCATAGTTTGTTTTATTTTGTGTATCGTAGAATTCTGTTGACACTCTATAGAGAAGTGCCATACCATTTTTGGAGGAAATATTAAATGAAGCGTGGCAATAAATTAAATTATCGATATTATTTCTTTTTTGGAGATAACATCAATTTAATTAATTTAGCTTACATTTCCTTCACTATATTATATATGTGGTAAGCAATAAAATAAGTAACTAATAATAAAATGCGAAAAAAAACATGTGAACGTCATTATTATGAGCATCTGGTCAAATCGCCTCATCGAAATATTGTTTTTAGACCATAGGTTTCTTTGAACCAAACCCGTTTCCGACAAATTGGTTTCGGTTTACGGGCTGACTGTCTGACCGATTCCATTCTTCAAATTTTGAACATCGTAATATTTATTCCAAATTTCAGTCCATTCCTTTTGGTACTTGGTTGATTCCATTAAT